ACTTCGAAATTCTATGACATCAACTGTTATCAGTGTTGTTATACAATGCATTTTTCTTTCCCTTCTTATATCTTCCGTAGTCGGTTTTGTTTTACACTAATTGTACGTAATATTGTTTTTCCAACGTTTCACAATGTACCATCTTAGATAGCCTCGGTTCTTTAGATAGGCCTCGGTTAATTGAGAGTTGACCGTAAATACATTTCCAGATTTAATACTAATATTAGAGACTATATTATGAAATATACGCTGAAATTTTAAGCTTAATGAATAAAAAAAATTGAATACTTTTATAAGTTGTAGAGTCATTAGGTTAATTGGAAGCAGAAAAGATGAAAAATATGCAACCGCCTTCGCCGGGAATTGAACCACGGACCTCTGGAACACCGGTCCAGTGTGCAGAACCACTACACCACGAAGGCACGATAGGGAAGTGGGAGAAATACCTTATAAAATAGTAAGCATTATGTTACCTCCAACTATGATTGATTGGCTGCGAGTATGAGCACATTTCCAGGCTTTCCCTTAAAAGAAGCCATTCCTTTACAAGGTCGACTAGCAGATGAGCGGGGAAAAAGCCTTTGAACAGTGGTAACGTGATACAAATTGGAATTCCGTCCCGAACGGTTTGGTTGCATGGATGTTTTTATAATTCTCCCCACATGTAAGTGAAAAAGAGCCAGTTTGTTTTAGAAATTCCTCCATGAAGACATACCTTTCAGGCAAATGGCCCTTGCATGTTTTGTCATATTCAATTGACAGGCAGTGGGCCCGAGGTATGATGTAAGGATGCAGGTGCCGAGGGAAGGGGTTCGCCTCGTCTCCCTCAGTTCAGCATCGGCCTCCTCGTGGCGCCCGCTAGTAACTATGTAGGCTTCGGCTTGCATAGGCTAACAGTTTTGGACAAACATTACTTGGGATCGACCTGGGCCTTCTCGAAGGCCACGGATCGACTGGGTGGGATTTCCGGAACCGACCACTTGTGGGAGGAGACCCGGGGTTCTTCCAGACAACTGGCTGGACTTGTGTTCAGACAGGTTCGATTTCTTGAGTAAATAAACAGTCTTCACAGTAAAAGACTAGAGCCATCGTTTATTCGATGGTGGTTCAAGCATGGCAGGGACCGTACTGGTACTGTCGTGTCTGCGATCCTGGCTGTGGAGACGTTACATGGTCAGATATCAAAGGCCTTCCGAGAGGCATTGGCTCCCCTCGGTCGGTGCAGAGCGACGGCGATGTCTAACTTGTAACTTTAATCTTGTGAATTAATTCTAGTTCTGTGAGAGGGAGTGGTGCCCCGATCATGGAAAAGTATCTTTGTTGTTGAAGCCAGGGGTTGAGGGTCAGCCCTGTGTATCTCTTTGTGATGGTCGCTCGTCGGCCTTCTTCCCTCGGTGAGTTTGTCTAGGGAAATTCATTTCCCTCTGTGTCGGCCGGGAGGGGGGTGGCGTCCCCTCGGATGGTCTCTGGCGTCTTAGTTCTACAAACATTGAAAAGGAAGATCCAGAATCTTCCAGGGCAAGGGCTCTGACTCCGGTGTTCATGCTCATGTAATATTCAATTAAACAAACAAGTTATGTTTTTGGAAGAAGTTAACTTGATATCTCAAAACTAATCGACCATTAACGTTTAATAATATTTATTAGATTTATAATTAAATTTCCTATTGGAACTTAAAAAAAATCAGCATTTAGATAATAGCCAATATAAGTCAAAGAACAAAACTTATATTGTTTTTCACGACACAATCTTTTTTTACGAGACTTCACAGCATATTCTAAAGGGCTGGCAAGAAAGTAATTTCGGTTTTTAACTGTGAAATAAAACTCAATTTTTTTCTATACAAAAAATTAACTTAAATCAGTCAAATAGCTTCCATTCTTTTCGATGACCTTTTGCTACATTTCTGGTAGTTTCCTGATTCCGCGCTCAGACAACTTCTGGTCTTCGTCACAAGAAAATGCAACCAAAATGCGATTTAAAATCATCGTCATTATTGAAATTTTTACCATTTAAAAAGTTTTGTAAACTTCGATATAAATAATAATCCGATGGTGCAAGGTCGGAGTTATACGAGGGATGTGATATCACTCTCCAATGAAGCTCCGATAAATTTCATACGTGTCACTAAAGATGTGCGAGGCCTCTTAATGTCGCGATGGAACAACACTCCTTTGCGATCTGCCAATTCTCGCCTTTTCTCTTCGATTTCTTCCTTCAGTTTCATGAGTTGTTGGCAGTAAGTATCCGCACTTATCGTTTGGTTGCTTGGAGAGAGTTCATAGTACACACCTTTGTAATCTCACTAAACTGACCAAATGATCTTTTTCTGAATGCAAATTAGCTTTTGATATGACTTGTGTTGATTCATCATGCTTCGACCATGATTTTGTTTTCGATTTTGATTGTAGACGATCCATGCTTCATCACCAATGATAATTCCTTTAAAAAAGGGTCGACTGCATTACGTTTGAACTACGTATCATAAATATTTATTTGATGTGTTAAGTGAATTTTTTTCATTTCATGCGAACAGTTCATCGAGTAGCTTCTTAACGAGTCCAAGACATCTTATGATTTTCAAATGTTATGTGTGATACATTTGATCATTTTGAAATCCCTTGCACAGTTATATGACGATTCGATTCAATTATGCGTTTAATTTTGTTATTATAAATTTCAGAAGGTCGGCCAGAGTGTTTGCCATTTTAAGTGAAAAATATTCAGAATGAAAGTTTTAAACCAATTCTGAAACATGTGTTCTATTAAGCAATGAACACCATTAACTTCACATATTTCTTTGTGAGCGTAAGTTGCTTTCTTGCCTTTATGAAAATAAAAAGTAAAATATGTCATTATATTTGCTATATTTATAATAAACAAATGTTTATTATATTTATAATAAACGTTTTTTTTTTGCTTTCCCCATGTTAAAAATGACAGTAGCAGTTATAAACTAAAATACACGGAATTTGTTTCTATACCAACATAAAGTGTCAGCTGAAAAATCCCAAAAGGAAAAAAAAATATAAGATTTACACAAGAACAACAAAACAAACATAACGCTATTTAGTTGTGCAAACCGAAATTACTTTCTTTCCAACCCATTGTAAGTAATAATGACAAATAATAAAATGCAATACTTAATAGTAAATAGTATTTTTCTATTTGAAATCTACACATGTCCTACAATCATGGTCGTATTTACAGTTTCACCTCCTTAATCTAATTACAATTACAACTCTGCATTCTTAAAATCAAATATCAAATACTGATAGTCAGTAAATATATAGTAAAATTTCAAAAAGAAATACTAATAGTAAAAATGTATAGTAAATATATAGTAAATATATAGCTATATATTTACTTTTACTTAAAATCATAAAAGGACATTTTTTTGTGTTTTGTGGGTGTGAACCAAAACGAATAATAATTTTACATTATATTCATAAATATTTTATATGATTTACATATATAAGATTGAAACTACAGAAACTTTTGACATATTATAGATGTCTAATACGTAAAGAAGGTTAAAGTTTATACCGATTTTAAAATACGGTATATCTGGTTACTTTATTCGTAACAGTTTTCCGCTTTCTAGTATGAATGGATTGAGGATCAAACCTCTCGTGCTCTAAATATATTGAATTTCAAACAGTTCTGCCACTATGATTTATACATGATAGAAACGGATAGCTTTTTCATGTAAAATGGTCACTTTAAGATGTTGCTACGGGCTGAAAATTAGATTTCGTTCAGTGAAAGGTTGCTTGCAGACTGCTGCAATACGCGTAGCATGTTCAGAAAGTAATACCCGTTTGGTACCGAATAAAGAACTTAAGAAGTTAGCTGAACAACCCATTTTATTTTGACTGTTTTTTTTAAAATTTATATTAAGGCAAGACGTAAGAGACTGACCTTAGGCTATCTGCCTAAGGTCAGGTGCCTTCTTTAAAGTATTTTTAAGAAAAATAGCTCGTACTCGCATTGCAATTGGAGGAAAACACGAAAACTCCCATGCCGCTAACCTCTTCACTGAACATGGTCGAACTATTAGTGTTCAGCGATTTTACCGTTTTATCATTGGGGAGTTCATTTTATTTTGAAAATTCTCACCTATTTCCCATAGGTATCCGTTTTGTCTCCCTATAGAATACAAGTCTCACTGATTATAAACGTTACAGATACTTGCAAAAAACAATCGTCTCAAATAAGTATTTTGAAAATAAAAAAATTTGGTTCACCTCACCTCTTTCACTCTTAATGTATTACCCAATAGGTACTACTTTCCCGACCTTTTGAATACAAGATTCAAAGGACGCGATTATCCATTTTATTTCCTTAAACGTTGATGACGCATATTTTTAGTTATATAGTCTCTTAAAATAACTGCCAGGTTCGACATTTTAAATATCGTACGGGGTATGGCTGCACAGTTTTGAGCTCAGTACTGAATCTCACAATATGCATGGACGAACGTAACTGTCTATCCTCCCTTCATGCAGGTGTAAAATCAGTGGCCCGCTGAGGTGATGGGACTGCTTTATGACGGCTTATAAATTCGGCCATTTCCGATGAATGCTTGAACTCGCAAATGGATTTAAAAGAAGCTTCTTAAAATAAGGCATAAAATTTTATGCAATAATGAGAGTAATACGTCTCTTAATGACTGAATTTATTTTTTATGAAAAGAACTTCCAATAATAAAATATTCATAATTTTTTGGTAATTTAGAAACTTCCATATTTATACTTGGAAAAGTAGCGAAGAAAATACTACAGCGAATTTACTTACTTAAACCATTTTCATATCCTATTAGTGATGAAAATTAAACTGTTTTTCGACCAGTTAGGGAGCAAATACATAAAAAGCTACTTTGTTCAGATCGATGTTTCCCAGCCTTTTACAGTTCACTCTCTCTATATGAGGTTTATTTAGCTTAGAGACCCTCCCCTCGGTATATCGCCTTGCAATATATTCTGAAAGAAGATACTTACTTGTTGACTTCAAGGCGCACACCATGGGCGATGCTCTTATTGGAAAGATCGTACTGGCAGTGCACTGTGACTCCCAGATCCTGATTGGTGACGATCATGTCGTGGTGCTGGATCACAATGTCGTTGGCGAACTCGCTGTGACCCTGAGATTGAAAAAAAGACAATGAATTCAGCATTTTGATACGGAATGGAACAAGAAACTGCTCGAAAATTGACAAAACATTATAGATGTTATTCAATCCTCGATAAATCTGTGATTTTAAATAAAAGTTATGAACTACGGTTAAATTCGCATTTTACGAATCATTCAAGGAAATGACGTTGCGATTCTTTCAATCAATATAATTAATTAAGAAAGGGAAATAATTAAGGGGGGAATATTCATGGAGTAGCGTATATTCTCGGTTAGGAAATCGCCAATGTCAATTGTCGACAGCGAAAGATGCCTGGCATTTTGCGATTTAGCCCTAAAATGTCTAATGAATCACGACAGCACTCACTAATGAAATTTTTAAACATACGGGATCTCGATTACACTGCTCTGCATTTTAAAACGCTTTTCTAATCTTTGCATCCTTTTTAAGTGTTCCTATAGATTTCAAACTACAAATTTAAAATACTGTATTAATGTTTACACAGCCAGCTACCCGTTTTAAAAAAACTAAGAAATAAAATTCATTTATCTGATGAATTTTTCTTAAAATTTATGCATAAAATCATGCGATTTTATTCATGTCTTCAACAGTCATAAATGGAAAGGTAACAAATGCTGAATTTATATTTCACTGAATCCTTCTTACCTGCTGTTTGACGTCGCAGTTGAGGTCGTGGTAGGCCATCCTGATCTCAAACTCCATACTGTTGATTACGTCGGTAACGCACGAATTCGGCCTGGACTTGACGTACACTTTCCCATTGAAGATTCTCGTCGTTTTCACGAACGCCACCATCTCACGGCTGCGACATTCGATGCTCACTGCGGAAGAATATAGAAATAAACAGGTTAGATTATTTGGATATGGCAAGGACTATCTGCATAAGGGAAAGTATGCCTCCAAAGTGGCCCTTTAAAGAGAAACTGGCTGGTATTTATGTCTGACAAAGGAGGGAAACTATTAAAAACTCCCATGCAGTCAACTCGTTCGCCTGTTTGCGAACCAAGGTCGAGCTACCAGTATTCATAAATCTTTACCACTCAGTCTGTGGTGGGGCTTTGAAGTGAACAGGAAGTCAATTTTAGAGCCGATTTTTCTCATTTGACCTTGCCACAACTAACTGTAGCAGCGTTTTCAGCGGTTAGGATACTGAAAAACTTTAAGCATTACCCTTGTTGAATTGAACAAGATACTACTTTAATACAATATAAAAAAAGAATTTTGAGTGGAAACGAGAGTGATAGAAGAGTGTATTCTACTCATAGATACAAATAGGGCCCCAATATGGAAACTTAAATGCATCTATATGTATTACTAATGTTACTAATTTAACTTTTCAACTGCCAAATCTTTTAAAATCAAATTTTGCTTAAAAATAGATTTTGCTGTCATAAAACTTAAGAAATTTGAAATGAACAAAATGACTTGTCAGTTACACTTATCCAAATTAAAAAAACATACACAAAACCCCCAGAGTTACATTAAATTCAAATAAAACTTTCACACTCTAATATAACAGTTTTGAACAAGCAGGGCTTTGCTAATTGGGCACCGAGGAAAATTTCCAAATGTGGGCAACGGCAGGCAATAGGTTAACTAACGCTGCTTCAGTTTTGATAACCTCAACAAAAACACATATAGATTAGTTATACTTCTTCAAAACAAGGCCTGCGAATCATACGAATCATAACCAATTCACCAGGAACTCGGTTTTCATAAAGTATGCCATTCTCAGTAGTGAGCTCAAATTTCATATTAAATGGGATAGTCATAATGCGGTGGGTTTAGAGTCAGGAGGATTTAGATTAAGGCAAAGTGCAAGCGGCTTTCCGCTTATGGGGAAAGATGTATTCGTGAAAAACGCTCTAAGGAAACTGATTCGTATTCATGTTAAACATGGGAAAACAAACAAAAACTCTTATACAGCCAGTCCCGTTCATCGGAGCTCGAACCTAAGGCAAACTGTCAGTCATCAGCTACTTTACATCTCAGTCACTGATGAGGATCATAATTTAGAATTGAGTAATCGTATATGTCTGTTAAGATATTCTGAGCATTCAATGATCATACTCCATCACATAAAATGGCAATGACTATATCTAAATCAGCAAAATTTTCTGTAGACTAGTACAAATCAATATCTTCACCGCCTATATTTGGCCTCAAGAGAAGAATTTCAAATTCACGTGGTTATCCAATCATTATAGAAGGATATTTGTGACCTTCGTTTTTCTTAGGTATATCTTTGTTAGACTGCTTACAGGGCAGGTTTTCAAAGTTGAAGGAGAAATAAGACTGATTTCTATTTGCAGATAATTTTTAGCATTACAGCTGAAGAAAGAGATGGAAAATACATAAAAGGAAATAAATTAAATTGAAAGGAAGGAAAATGAAAAAAGGAATAATTATTTTAAAGGATATTTAATTATTTTTAAGGAATTTAAATTGAAAATTTTAAGAACTCAATTAAAAGTTTTTGTTGAACATTTGAAAGTCGAGAGACAGGAAAGTTTAAAAGTTAAAATACAGACAGGCAAACAAAGGGAAATTGAAAGCTTATAAAATTTACATTGGTGGAAGTCAAAGGGGGGGGAATGGCAAGTTTATAAGATAGCAAGGTCTCACCATTGTAGCAGGAAGAGATTTCATAGGTTGCAGCACCATGTATCTCTAGGTAGGGATCCTCAATGTTGGCCAGGGAGGGACTGGCCAAGTGGCTGAGTCTGCACACGCTATTTGTAGGGTCGCCCATGTCGAACGACTGGCAACGGTAGTCGACACTAAGACACTTCTTCCGACATCCTTCCAACGTCTTGACATCCTGGAAGACAGCATCCACCGTCTTAAGAATTTTTCCGCCGACTTTACGAAACTCACAGAGACGAACTGGTGCTACAGTTGGGGAAGAGAAAGGCGAAATGGAACTAAATAAATAGTTATAGAGAATCTCCATTTACAAAAACATTAGTAATGAATGAAATGTATAATAATTAAGAGAACACTAAATGCAACATAGTCCAGAATGTTACTGTTTCTTGAAGAATAGGAAAGCTGTAGATGTTTTCATGAAAATTCATGCCTTGCTATATTAAATAAAAGTAATGAATTTTTAAAATTAAAATAATAAATAGCAGTTCTTCAATATTATAGAATTTTAATAGGTTAAAAATCCTGCGTATTATAAAAGCCTATTATATACGTAATATAAAGATTTTGTATTATCTTGGACTTTATTCAAAGAAATAAACGGAGTTTGTGATTATTAATAATTTATCAATAATTAATTGATATTCTAAATATTTTGGATAATTAATTATTTTTACTGAATGAATTACACTTAATTCATTACAGCTGTCCTAAGAAGATAATCTTGTAAATTTTGTCACCTAAACATCGACCTAGAGGCTGATACCGGACAGTCGAGTTATTGGGATATATGAGGCAGCCTATTCTGACATTATAGAAGTAATAACTTTACCAGTAATGATCCCCTTTTACTTTACACAACTTCACGGCTAGTGTCACAGTATGTCAATAATACGCAGCAACAACTATGCGATTAAAGAATAATAGGAATTATAGGAAATAATGGCTATATGTTTAGACTTTGTGGAAGATTTAGTTGCATTTTATTCATTTCGGACAGTTTCTGCATGAGTCTAAAGATCTTTTAGCATACTGGAATAAATGGATTCTCATTAAATAGGAGTTCAGTTGCGAATGATTCTTTTATTATGAAATGTTTTACTAGGGAGTTGATTCTAAAACTCCGCCTACTATGTCATAATGTGGTGGAGCTGTATTTGCCCATTTTATAATGAAGCATGCAGCTCTGGAATAGTATTACGGCACTCTAGTGCGACATTATAAAGGTATTTAATTATATACATCTATTTTGTAATAATGATCCGCTTATACTGTGAGGTTCTCGTAATAACTCTTCTAAAAGATCTCCTTATATAACTCAGTTGAAGGGTACACTGATTGCTGAAACAATGGAAACATTTTATTAATATTAATCAGCGTAATGAGGGTAAATTTTAAAGATTATAATTAAGGATCAGGAAGTAAAATTACTTGCGGTATCTATTGACAATTTATTAAACCAACTACGAAATCATTTCTTGAAAAGTTGAAGAGGGATTAGAATTGGGATCATTATCCAGAACTGAAGAATTCCATAAATGTGAAACTCCTCTAGGAAATATAATTTGCCAATATAAGATGGTTTTTTTAAATAGCTTTAACTGCACAGAACCGGAAAATGTGATATTTTACCAACCATTTTAAGCAACAGAATATTAGAGTTTCTTTTTCCTAATATATGGCTCATATTCCTTATGAGAAAATTCAAAGCTCGCCTATTTTGATCATTGCATATTAAGCCACATTGGTAAGGTATTCACTGTAGATGCTGTAAGAGTTCATATGCTCGAAATAGGGGATTTTAATTAGCGAACTGCGAATATTATTGGAGGTAGAAAAAAATGACACGAAAATTAAACGTCTGTAAAAGGAGTGCAATTTTGTAATTAATCATTAAAACAAGCTAACTATATAACACATGGCCATAATTTTATAGCTTATCTAATTTTATTGTCGTGAAAGCCTGCGGAAAGGTATAGAAAGATAGATGAGATTTGATATAAAATAAAAAGATTTGATTAATTTGAATAAAACTATACAACACTAAGTAGCTTTCTTCAACTCTGAGCGCTGTTTTATAATGGAAATGTATTGCATAGTATGTTTTGTAATGATGGTCTAACGCCTTCTTTGATTTATTGGAGATGATTGAATTCAGTTTTATAACTGCGAGAACTGTACAAAACTTTCCTTGCATTATTGATGACGGTTTAATAATAGTCAGTTACGGGTTTGAACTCAACAGTGCTTTTCATAGTCTTCTAGCGCTGATTTAACACTATTTCTTAAGGTAGATATACAATCAAGATGGTTTAATATTATTTTAATAACGGTTTGAACTGTAAAACACTTTGTTTATAATGCTGATAATTTTTAATATTTCTTTATGGCAGGGCTGAATGACAGTATCTTCCTCTAACTGTTGTGAACGGTTTAATTATAATACAGAACGTAGTAAACTCTATTTCGCTTTCTGTGCATAACTGCTGATTGTCCAACACTCTTTTTCATATGTCCCAATTGCATAACATTTCATTTTATAAAGATACTTACGATCAACGCAGTTATTTTCCAAATATTCAGTATCTCTCTCAGCGGGGACAAAGAATTTGTTAGATTGAGCCGAGTGTCGATCCACATCACTCAGTTGGCAATCGTTCCTCCTCCGATAGTAGTTGGCTGAGCGACAGTGGAACTCCCTCTCCCCCAAGCACAGCTCCATGCACTTCTCTGTAGAGGATACATTTGAGATAGTTTTACGGGAGCGTTCCAGCAGCTCGTAGTTAGACACACGCTCGAAAACCCATTCTCGGTTGCATGGCAGATCTGTTGAAGACAGAAAAAATTTTTATTAGGATAAAAAAAAGAGTGCTAAAAAGCAAAGCTTATAATTATCTACAAACTAGCACCAGTGGAACCGCGCCATAATGTAGATGCCACATTAAAAATGTTGCCCAATGTTGTAAACAGGACGAAATCTCGACAGTGGTACTCCGACAAAAAAAAAAAGAAAAAAAAAAAAAAAGATCAAGGTTCTCTTAATTAAATTCACTGGCACCTTTGTTGTGGTCAATATTTGATTTTTGGTATAAAAGTGCTGGCACGTTATCTGATAGGCTAAGTTAGAAGAAACAAAGACAATTGCAGAAACACTTAAAGAACGACACCGAAGTTTAACATTCCTTTATGAACACACTATAAGTATTATGCATCTGCCTTAATACATGTATTTTAATAATAAATTGTATGTTATATCATGCAACTGTATAATGTCTTAATCTAATTTTAACAAATCTAGATTATTTAAAAATATAAACTTTATTAAAGCATTTAAAATTATATTAAGGTAATTAAGCACTTTAATTTTACAATTAAAATAAAACATATTCATTTAGTTTTACCGGAGGGTATGGTATTTAGCTCATGTAAGTGTCTTTTTGGTTGAAAAGTTTCATGGCATTACATTCACAGATGTGCAAGAAAGCTACCACAGTTTTATTTAGGTAGTTTTACTGTTTTCATTATTATTGTTATTTTAGTTTTCTTAGACTCAAATTGGTAAAAGCTCAGAATCCGTTGAAAGAACAAATTTATGGAGGCGGAGCTTAGTGATGTTATAGATGAATGGAACTAAGATTGCGACGTCACAATGTATTTTCCACGGACCTTATAAGAAATAGACTAACCCAAATGGGTTTTCTCCCTCGTCTGAGGCGTTCCCGGATGTCACCTTGATCACATCCGGTGGAGTTGGGACGACTTGCAGAAATTTAACAGTGGTTACCTATTGCAGCGTGTATAATTGTCAAGAAAAAGCTGGTTGTAGCGCCTCATTTCACAAATCAGAATTTCTACATATTTTTATTTTTGAAATTGAGATTGATTTTTAAAAATTTAGCACATTTATCAAGCATAATTAACGTTCCAAATAATTATAAAGCTATTGCATGCTTTCAGGGCTGGATAATTTTTTAGCTTTTTACTTGATGTAAGGAAATTTGTAACTACTTCGTTTAGAAAATATTTTAAATCTAAACTAATAGAAAATTTCAAACAAGCAATTTTCTCTTGCAATTTTTATGCTTTTTATTTGTGTAAATATGTAAAAAATACTAAAATATTTAAAAACGAATTTTTGAATGTTTTTTAAAATTCTAAATTCTGCTGCTTTTTTAAAATTGTAGATGAGTATTATAGCACAATTTCTATAAAGGAATTTTATTTCAATTATATTTCATAATATATCATAGTGATAAAAACTTTTGAATCCTTAAAAATTTTTATATATTTAATTTTAATATTAATATTATTAATATTAATTAATTGTATTTAACCGTAGTAATTAATTTTGCTTGTATTTATTATAGTGATTATTTTTTTTTTAAATTTATTTTTAGTTCTGCATAAGATTTTTTTTTATTTACTGTTAATTTAATTTATTAGCCCAAAGGGGCGGTAGCCTGGAAAGGCTGTTAGTTTCGAAGCGGCATTTTGCGCTGTTTTACTATAAATGTCCGAGTCTCCTTCCTTGCAAATTGTTGTTACCAAATATTATCGCCCTATATTATATGTAAAGAAATTAAATAATGAAGAATCTGCATGAATACATGTATGTTTCTCGTACTGTGACAAAAACGACAGTAGCTAGAGCCATCAGATTTTGAATAATGCAATCCTCCACCCGAACGTGGGCATATGGACGGCCGAATTTCGAATTTGTTTTAATCTATTTCATAGTTTGTAAAACTTTAACGGATTTTTGATTAACAAACTCAACAAGTTCAGAGCGAGCACTGTACGGAAAACAACAGTTTTATCTCCAGTGCGAAAATTCTAAAGATATGCTGTTTTCAAATGTATGTGATTTACGGGCGAAGAACGTGATATTCAATAAATATAGGTAACACACAAAACTTAAAAAAAAGGTTCCTTTTGGGCGTAATATAAAATCTGAGTGCTTCTAGGTTTTATTTTATCTTTTATTTTCTCTTCATTACACTCAGAAAATTTTATGCTCCAAATTTTATAAATTACTAAAATAAATAATCCACTTTAATGTTAATAATTTAATGATGATATAATCAAATAAATAATCGTTTTGTAATGTTATTATAGTTTTGAAAATCACTGCCTGAAAATGTTCATTAAATTTTAAAAAAATTTTAATCAGATCTTGTTTAATTTTACCTTATTTATTTCAAAGCATCACGTGCTATCAATCTTATGTAATTTTACTTTATTTTTACGCCAAATTAAGTTCATAAATTTTGTGCTTAGAGTTTTTACCGTTTTACCGTTAAAAGTAAAGATGTTTGTACAAGAATTACGCGTGAAAAAAAATGCGCGAAATGCAATAAAAAGTGCTTTAATGAGATAAATCCAATTTGGTAAAAACTGTGGCTTTCATAGTCTCATCACTATACAACGTATCACATTTAATACTTGAAAAGAGTTATGTGATACAAACGCCATAGGTTTCAGTGTTAAAGTAAACCTGATCGTCCCTACTCTTTCTTGCCGATATGTCGGTGACGTGCGCCCCGCCCACTGGGTTAGTCTATCTCTTATAAGGTCCATGCTATTTTCTCATTTACTATTTTCTACTGAAAATAACAATAATCAATTATTTATAATTGTAAATTAACATTAAATTCTTTATTTTGTATTTCTAATAGTTAAACTTGAGTTTCACTGAAAACAAATATAATAAATTTTTTATATTTAAATTTAACTTAATAGAGTAATTTAGTTCTACCAGTTATTAAAACGATAAAACAACGTCTCAATCTCTCATACTTCTATTTTGTACAGTTTCAATATTTCCAAAGATTTTTAAGCTTTAGCATTTATACAAATAATTTTTTAAAATTTAAATTCATGTTATGGAACACTTTAATTTTATCGTTTATTGCTACATTTCACAAATCCGTTTATTGATACATAACGCCACAATTCGATACATGCTAGTAAGAGACAATATTCATTATTTTAAAAAAATTACTTTGTTTAAAAAATTAAAAACATTTTTAAAAATTTCATTTTTTTAAAATTGAAAAAAGAAAAATATTTTTATTATTAATATTTCTTCTGCTTACGTTTTCACATGTACTCCGTCAGATACGAACCGAATTGTTCTGTTGCCTGTTGAATGCCACGAAGAATTCTTTCCATTGCCCCTTCTCCCGAAGTCCTGTAAATACTGTTGGTATGTGCACCTGTCTTCGGATCTTTAAAACACAAGCTAAGATTCACTTTTAGGTGCGCATATCCTTCGAATTGAAGGCAACTATAGGATTTCCAGCAATCGGAAATAACAACTGATCCTGGCAAGACATTCTGTTTAAAAATTCCTAACAATGAACTGGCACCTCTGTTTTCAACCGCACTAAACGCACATTTACCCTTTTCTTCTCTTTCGAGCAAACTAAACTCTCGTCTCCCATCCACTCTTTTCCTTCTGTGATATGTTTACTTACCAAATTTATTTTCATCAGTTTTCACAATCACGCTCTTCCCACTCAACACTACATTCTTCTTCAAGCAAAAGTTTGTACACACTTCGCTACAAATCTCTTCCAATCTACAGCAGTATTTTTAGCAATACCTAACTCCAGTCGTATAAAATCATTCTCGCACTTACCTAACCGCGTATACCTAACTCGGAAACCACCACACATGCTCGATTTACTCCTCGCAAATTACGAATCCTTTCAGGAATCCGATCGATTCTTACATTCGCTTTCTGTAACTGTAGACCTCCACTCAAAACCATTTATTCAGTTCTTTCGCTCTACCAGTTTCATATTCATTTCACAGATCGGACATTTATACGATCTTGCAATCAACATTTTCTTCATACACCACTTCAATCAAGCTTTTTTTACCTTTTCGCTCCAACTAGTAAAAAAATAAAAATTCAGATGTTCACACATACTGCAGGAAGCAACGATCAGATACACTCATCGATAATCAAAACATTCTTTGAGCAAAAATTCTTTTCTATATTTTGAGCAGTGAAGGTTATGAATTTTAAATCATTCATGCAATATTTTCAATCGTTTGGTAAATCTCAAGAATGCATTTTTGAAAGCTAACTCGTTGTATCAAATGTTAACAATATCATATAATACACACTAAACTATATTTATAAAAAAATCTTGCGCAGTAAAATTACAAAAAACTAACATTTAAATTCAGTTAAAATATAATTTAAATTTTCTTCCTAGAAAGAGGCGTAGCAAATATTACGTCATGAAAAGGCGTGTCCAAGTTTAAGACAAGTAAACAACGTCTTGATTTTACGTTATTATATTATTTATACTCGTACTTTATGTTGTCATGCTGCTTTTATCACATACCTTGTGAGCCAGGGATAGGGCTCCGGCCCAAGAACCCGTGTTTCGTGGCCTGAGGCCACCTAAGAAACAACGTCTTGATTTGTGCTGCATTTTTTAGGATTGAGCTATCAAATAACTTTAAATATCGTTTGGTCACTTTCTACAGAACCGATTTTCTTGAAATTTCGCAGTCTTAACCCTGAAATTTCTATAGTAAAAATGATTAAATTCTGTTCTTAAATTTTCATCTGATAATTTCGATTTAAAATCCGGTATTTTTTCCATTCGGTGATTCAAAACTTAGTCACAAAATATTCTGACTGTTAAAAGAATGCTTTTCTCTGTATTCAATTAAAATACGTAATTTAAAAAGCTTTTTATGCGTAATCTTTAATTCATATAAACACATTCAGATCTAGAAGCCATATACAGACAATACGGTATTTAAAACATATTTTAGAAATGCTCCTCACTAGCAGGATTAACAGG